TTTTAATTTTAGAATTAAAATTAAAATCTTTTTATTTGAAAATTAAGCATTTGGTAAGGTAGATAACCAAGACCTCAAACTCAAAAGCCAAGCCCCAGAAGGTGTATGTACTCCTTAAGTACCAAAAACTCAGGCAAAAAGAAAAAAAAAACCCTAAATGGCAAAATCCCCTTCAAATCTCATTTTGAGAGCTTTCATTTAGCAGTGATTAAGAAAAGTCCAGCAGAAGCATGGTTCTGATTGTGCCTGATCAGTTTTCTGACTTCAACTGCAATTCTAACCAATTAACACACAAGAGATTTCCTCTTTGTGCTCAAGCAGTTTTGCAACTATCTTAACATTGAAATAAAATCTCAGAAGACCTGTTTTGCTCATTTAAAAATTTCACAAGTTGAAGAGAAGGAAGCACTAATATTACTCTGCTTCTTCTCATCCCCGTACCTTGTTGCCTAGCAGGGAAGGAGAATTAAAACACAAAGTAAAATATGGGAGGAACTTCTAACATCACTGTGAAAACCAGTGCGAAAAAACTCTTTAAGAGGCAACAATAACATGACCAAGCAGTTAAGTATTGCTGAAATAATCAAAATATAGGTGGTTTTGTGTAAATAGATGTGGCAGGAAAAGATTTCAAAAATCACAGGTAAAAGAAAAGACAGTTTTGAGGGAATTAACAAAAGCAACAGAAGAAAAAAGGGGAGAGAGACAAATACAAAGTCTTTGAAGTGTCAAAGTGAGAAACCTGAAAGAACTAAAGAAGTAAAGAGTAAGAGAAGTAGACTGCTTTGGGGGAGATTTACTGCAGAAGAATGGGGCAGGGGGGAAAGTCAAAATGTGGAAAAGCAAAGAAAGATTTTAACAATAGATTAAATAGCAACACCAGTAGGATTTTAGCTCTTATGTACAATTATCATTCTAACCAATCTACATAATTTAATTTTCTTGCTGGTCAGAAGATGCTACCAAGGCTTATTGTTTCTGTAACAGACTGGAAATATAATGGAAAAGCATGTGTTGGCCCAACCTCTTGCTCAACCTTTGTGTTGAGAAAGCATCTTCTAAATGGATTATGTTACCTCTAGCTTCCAACTTACAGTTCTTTCAAGCCTCAGTCTGAGTGCTAATATTGAGCTCCAGAATAAACAAGTCTTATTATTGCTTTTTAAAATAAAGAGCAGTACAAGAAGATGACAGATAGCCACTGAAAGCTGTTCCAGATTGTTCTACAAGTTCAATGCTGAGCTAAAGATACGTAATCTAGCTGTCCCCATAGCCAGCTTTGTTTTCACCTGCTTTGCTAGTACTACGCTCCACGCACAAATAAAGGCATAGTAAAAAAATGCAGTAAAAGCCTGCATTCTGAGCTGCAATTCAGATAACACGTAACACTGCTCACAAAAAGCTTAGGCTTTCTAACGCCTTACGTTCTTTACATTTCACACTAGTCACTGGTGCTTTATCCCTACTATGTATGTGTTTTCCTCATTCACAGAAATATTATGGTTAGAATCTGGGTTAAAAGTGAGGACATCGCACGCTTTCTTAGGGCTTTTTGTTTTCCCCTTTACCTGTTGTAATGAAACAATGGCTTCATCAATCTTCTCCATTTTGCTGTAAATCTTTGCCAGAAGCACCTGGTAACGTACATCTTCCACCAGAGAAGACAACTCATTAACTGTAAGAATTAGATTAAACAAACATTATTATTGTAAGAACTGATGATCCTGACAAAAGTCAAAGAAAGATGAAGCTCTCCACATATTGCAGGCAAGAGCCTGTAAAAAAATTCACAACTCAATCTTACATATTTAGGATTGTGATTTGACTTGGTGTGGTGTTAGTGGGCAGAGTAAACATTACAACCTACAGAGTCAGATTTAAGGCCAAAGACATTGAAAGATTTAAAAGGAATGAAAAAAAATGACTGTATAGTCTATTTGCATTCTCAGAAATATGAGAGAAAAGCTTTTAATTTAAACGGACAGGAAATAAATCCTCCTCAGTGAAAAATGTCCAAATCGATTCAGTGAGTGCTACTGTACACCTAAAAAGCGTAACATCGATGAAATTTCTATTCAGACCTCAAGCTCTGTTTCTTTTGCTAGAAACTGCAACAAGACATAAGCAGAAACAGTTATTTTTAACTAAATATTTCAGCATCTCCTCAAAAAATCTACTTTTGAATAATGGTTAAAATATATTCACATAAAATATTATTTGAAGAATACAAGTTCTCCTGGGCTTGCATTCATTTTAATATATTGACAAAGTGGTATCTTAAGCACAGGTCCACATTGAAACATAAAAGCCACCAAACCCCATGTTTTATTTTTATTCAAACAAACGAACAAATAAATAAAACCATATTGAGCTATACTCTAATAGTAAACTGTCTTCGAAGTGCTGTAATTATGACGTGCTATTCTAAATCAGAGATTAGGCCATGTAGCCAACCATGTAAGATCATTCCCTCCAGTACTTTTCCTATATTTCGTTTTTCTTTCAGAAATGAAGGATATTCTAACATTTATTAAAAAAAAAAATAATATTAAACTTCAATAATTTTCCCAATCAGCCAATGAGATTTTTTTTTTATAGAGAATGTGTTTATATCAAAGATGTACAAAAAGGATATTGACTTACACAGGTTTTTGCTTCATTGTAAGAAAGAAGAGAAGATTTTAAAGTACACAGGGCAAATGTATTTACTGCCAATTTATCTTCCCACACAAGATCAACCTGTCTTGAACATGATTATTAAATTAGCCAGACCCTCAAAGGCCTAACTGAGGCAGGAATATAACATTAAATCAGATTTTTTCAAGCAGTAAACAAGACAGAAAACCAACACTCCCCTGCACAGTATGAAAGACCAGTAAAATAGTGACATAAGAGAAAATTACAGAAGGGACTAGGAATAAGACTTCCTAATACTATTTCTGTATTCAGATAGCCACAAAAGTTAACAAATGTAATTAAACCATTACAACAAGATTCCTTAATTAAGGGTATAGCTCAACAGCTCACATTAACCACCTTAAAACTTAATTGCCTTTTAACAAAAACAAAGGAAAAAAACCCCAACCTTTGTAAGTGAAAATTCCTAATGTGTAAAAGAAGTTCCTAAAAGGCATCTTCAACCAGTTTAATCTCTTTACTCTGAAAGATACTGGGTAGTATTTACCACCTAAACAACCATTCCCTAGCAGTAGGAATGACTCATCTAAACTCAATCAATTCAGAATCACATTTGTCAGCACAGAAGAGAAAGAATGTTGCACATGTGTACCTCTGCTATTACATTTTCTGACTCCATCTATCAGAGATGTTGCACCTTTAAAAGTCCTTGCACATGCACCTTTAAAGGTAAATGAAGTTTGTTTCAGAGTGCATTTCTCATTTATCTCTTAATAGTTTTCTGTGTTTTACACAAAAACCAAAAAGTTTGTATGGAACTTGTTTACTCCTTGGAATCATGCAGAAAACACAAATAGAAACTGTATGTTTTGTTGCAAATTAATAACATTCCTACCAGGCTCATGATCTAAAGCTTGCTGAAGTACTCTTTCTGCCTTTTCATACTGCTTCAGTTTCATTAAAAGCTCAGCCAAGTCATAGCGAAGGAAATTCTGTTGACCACTTCTCAATGCAGCCTCATAGTAACTGATTGCCTAAAAGGAAGAAATAAAAATCTGAGTGTTACTTAAAGATAAATTTTAAAGACAACAACCTTGCTACTTAGGTATGTAATGACATGCTGCTTAAGAGTTTTCTTTCTTTTCTTTCTTTGCTGCTCCTATAACCAAGTAATTTTTAATAAATACTGTATTAAAAAACCACAAACGTTATTTAGTTGCAAGTTCAGGCTTTCTAAAAGGTAATGCACATTAAAGATAAATAGAATAACTAAAGCCTACATTTTCATATTAGGCATGCATTTACAGAGTCTAACCACATTATCACATTCTATCTTTGACAGGATCACTGCCAATTAAACTGCATTTTTAGTAGCTGCTGAAGTTGTATAATTTCAGGCAAACTGGAGTTACAAAGTTCTGTTTTACTGTATACAAAGGACTAATATTTTCCCAAAATCTACCTGCAACACACAATGATGAAAGAAGTAAGCAAAAGTTTAAAAATACCAATGAAGCATAACTTAATAGAAAGGAGTTTTTGCTCGGCATTTTTAAACATAAAAACTGATAATCATAACAGTTAAAAAAAGCCAAGTATTTACTCAAGAAAAAAAACAAAAGCAATGTTCTGGATTAATAAACTATTATTCCATAAGTTTTAAACAAACCCACTTCAGTATAACAACTTAAACAGTCTTGAAATAGGATGTTACTTCTCTAAGTAAAAAAAAAAAAAAAGAGAACCGCTACTATGTTGAAAAGGTAAATTTCCAAAATAAATTTGAAATATTTTATTAATTTTTGTTGTTTTAAAATAGACACATTTAAACATGCATAATAACGCACACATCAGGCAGGTTACCTATTAGGCTTAAGCAGCCTAAGGATGACATAGCTGAAGCCTCAGAATAAAACAATAAAATCCATGAAATACCAATCGCCATATAGATTACAAGCTTTTCGATAGCAGCTCTAGGAATCATCATAGTACATTAGGTTATCACATACACAAAAAAAGGTTTGAAGTATCATGGAGCAAGATAGGAACCATATATTGAGCTGCCTGTAGTACTGACCTTAAGAGAAGCAAGAGAAAATTCTAACATTGCAAATACAAAACACAATTTGGACACACCCACCAGCAGTTTGAGGTTGCCCAAATAAAATTATTTGTTCCTGCAAGTCTTCCCCAAACATTTTCTTCTAGGTTTCCTACAGTAAGAAGTTAAAGCCTTTATCAGCACTCTCCTAGCCAACATTAAGGCTTGGAGATGTAACAAGTCTGGGTCAATGAAGAAATAATTAAACATAGATTTGAGTGCACAATAATCACATAAACTGCAAGTTACCAGACCTACAATTCACCAGATTTGTAGCCACCAATGTACAGCTGTGCACCTTACCAGGTATTTTGAAGGGGACCTAGAAACTTACTTTCAGGATAAAAGGACTGTTTAGTGCTTTAATGTGAAAGGCTTCCTTCTATCCGACCTGACAACAGCATAAGTGTAGTTAACTAATTACATTGCGCATACACAAGAACCAGCTTAGACATCACAAATACAAAAACTATACATTCCCTGGAACAACACACTGCAAATTTCACATTCAATGTGATCAGAAAGACATCTGTAGTGGGATTTCTATGCAACAGACATCCCCCATCACTCCTTGGTAACTTACTTGGTTGTTAATTGCCTTTCTGAAAAAAAGTAATCTATTAAATAGACATTCCCAGAAGATGGCGAACCTTTGCATTTTAATCCATGGAGCTAAAACTGTGTTTCTCCTTCAACACCAACCTGGCACAATGGTAATAAACATGCAACTTTAAGCAAGTAAGATGATGGCATATTAGTACAGTGTTTGAAAGACTCTCTGCAGTACCACTTACCTAAACTGGTAATACAGAGGTTCAAATCAGTATTAAGCCTGACAAGAAGTGATGATGGGAGCTAGCAGTCCTGTCCTGAATCCAAGGTAGAAAGTAGATTTCATAGAATCATATAATGATTTGGGTTGGAAGGGACATTAAAGTTCATCTACTTCCAACCCCCATAGGCAGGGTCACCTTCCACTAGATCAGGTTGCTCAATGCACCATCCATCCTGGCCTTGAATACTTCCAGTGATAAGGCATCCACAAAACTTCCTGGGGCAACCTGTTCCACTATCTCACCACCACCACAGTAAAGAATTTCTTCCTAATACCTAATCTAAATCTACTCTCTTTCAGTTTAAAACCATCACCTCTTGTCTTATCACTGCACTCCCTTGTAAAGAGTCCTTAATGATCTTTCCTGTAGTCCTCTTTAAGTACTGGAAAGCTGCTATCAGGTCTCCCTGGAGCCTTCTCTGGGCTGAACAACCCCTACTCTTTCACCCTGTTTTCACAGGAGAGTTGCTGCAGCCCCTTCATCATCTTTGTGTCCCTCCTCCTAACTTACTCCAGGTTCAATAAAGATAGAGACACCATTATTTGAAATAAATTCAATAAGTAGAGTGGAAGATTGTACTAAGCACCTTTGAAAGAGATGCTGCTGAAACACAACACAGAGCCATTTCTCGTACTTGGTCTCCCAGCCACTTTCTGTACCCATTTACTGTTTCCTATTTCAATACAAGTGACTAGGAAAAAAGAGCAGATACTTAAAGTTAGGAACTTGGCACTGATTTCTCTGCAACTATCAATTCATGTCAAAGCCGCTTGTACAGCACGTACAAGCTGGCTTGGGATGACAGTGACTTCCTCCAAGAAAGAAATGAGAAACTCCCAGCTTCTTTCACAGCGTATATGCAGAAGAATACAACAAGCACAAAACAGTTAAAAGTCTTTTGCAACATGGAGACTATTCAAGAATATTGTATTAAAAGTCTCAGTGAGATGTAACTAAAACCTAAGAGACTCAACTTCAAGATTCCTGTATGTAAGCACTAAGGGTACAATCACACCACTACCCCAACATTACAGCCCTGCTTGCTTCCTTCCCAGGCTGTCCCAAAATACTTTCTTCCCTTCTCTGTGCTGTGAAGGGTCACAGAGGGCTGAATAGGTATTTTGAAGGGGATGTACAAACTTACATGCAGGATAAAAAGTCTGTTCGGCGCTTAAAGTGAAATGCTGCTTCTACCCAACCTGAAAACAAAACCAGGCAAAGCCCACATGTTGACAATAACGGACATAAAGTTTAACTAGCCTAATACAGTACTTATAGAATACCTTGGAATAGTAATGCGTTTTGATTAGCGCTTTTCCAATTTTACTTGCTAAAGCTGGATCTTTTGGATTTTTCTTCAAGGCCTGCTCGTAGACTTCTATGGCTTCGTCAGGCTTCAGACAGTAAAAGATAAAAACACAGAAGTCAAGGATTAACATAAAAAGTGTATGAAGAAAACAAAATCTGGTAACACCTCCAGGAATGACCGCCAAGTACTACTGGTTCACAAGCTACATACTTCAGAGAGAAGAATGGTCACTATAAAACTGCAGGAAGTGTAAAGCCCATGTAAATTTAAATTTCCATGCCAATAGAGAATGTGGAGAGAACTTTGCAAACAAACAAGTCTGATTTAACCTGATCCTTTTTCCACTGAAATTTCTCTACTAGTATTTTCACTATTTAGCAAACTTATACAAACTTACTACTGTGTTGGTCAATCAACCATTTCTCTCCTATAGCCATGTTACAGCAGATCTAAACAATTTCCCTTTTGCTTTATAATTCTTCATTAAGGAGAAAACTATATGCAAACATTAATAAGTAAGCAACCCTTAATGATCTACAGATCCCCAAAACAGTAATCTATAGTTGTGTGTCCTAACCCAATATATTCTTTCAACATCTGAATTTAAATGTGTATCCTTCAAAATCCTATGTCCACTTGACTACACTGTCTTTCATCAAGAAAGCAAAGGATATAAAAAAGTGTACAGGAATTCAGTAATTTAAAACTTCAAAATAGAACTTGCAGTATGAGAACTAAGTTACCTAGAATTATTCTAAACTTCAGAACCCTTCTAAGTATCTTCAACTTCCTTCTGAATTTAATTTAGCTCTTGCTTTCAATTTTTGTTAGTCTTAGCGGTCAGTAATCTTCTAGATAAAATTCTCACCTTGGCTTTCACCCAGTCAGTTACTAGAGGAAATGCATTTTCAACAGGTTTTAATTTGAACTCAGAACAGTTACATTTGTAGCCAGTAATTATGGGGTTTTTTACATCCTAAAGCAGTTTCTGTTTGCCAACTACCAATCAATAAGTCAACATGCTACATTGTCTCAACTTGCCAAAGTCAACAAATAACCATTCTATTCATCCCTAGCAGGCACTTACCTCTTGAATATTCATGTATGCATCACCAAAAAGAAGAAAAGTGTGAGCACTTGGCAGTTTTTCTACTAGGTCTCTGGAAACAGAAGACAGAACTTTGCTCAGAATTTAACATGTCAATGCTGGTAACTAAACAACAATAAACAGGACACAACAATTTTCTACTCTGCGGATTTTAGTTTTTATTTCTGAAAATAAAACAAAAAAATCTGAGGTATCTTTCCAAATGAGGACTCTCAGTTACTGTTTTAAATGCTACAGCACTCACTTAAAAGAATTCATTATGTCACTAAATATTTCTGACATATTTCTGACATATAGGAAGAAAAAAAAAAAATAAGCTCACCATGCTACCATTAAATATCTTGGAAAATATATATACACACGCCACAAACTTTTACCTGTAGCAGCCAGCATATAACCTCTTATCTTTCCTATGATGAAGATAAATATCTGCCATTTTTTCTTTAGCTTGTACAAAGTAAGGCTGTTCAGGTGTAATATTTCGGAGCATAGTCAAGGCTTGTTCAACATCTCCTTGAGCAATTGCCAGATCTGCATTTGCAATCACAACTCTAAGTTCCTCAGAAGTTCCAGAAAATTCATTAATGGCTTCTTGCAGTATTATAACAGCTTCATGCTGCAAAAAATAAAACCAATAGAATTAATGTATTCCTTGTTGTTGAACAGCCAAAAGGCATCATAAGCAAACGAATGTCTGGGGGCATCATACAACTAAAAAAGCCCCACAAAAATGCCCAAGCCACAGTGTCCATTTGTTTTGCTAAAACATTTAGTTCTTTTTCCTCTTGATTTCTTTTAAATAAAATGTGGTATGAACCACCAGAAAAAGTTTTAGTACAGAAAACAAATCTGCATTGCAAATATGCAAGGAAATGCTCAAAATTAATCTGGACAATGCCTTTATCACCTTGTTCTATCAGGTCCTGCTCGAGCAGGATGACCTCCAGAGGCTGCTTCCAACTACACAATTGCATATAGCTTTTCTCATATTCTTATATGTATGTAGTGTCCTACTGTTTATCAAAAGAGTAAGGATGCTGCTACTGAAAGACAAGGACATGATCCAAAACTATTTCTTATACCAGTCTGACAGCAAAACAGCAATCTACATGGCAGCAGATGACCATCAACAGTATCTCCTTCTCAAAATTAAAAGAGCTTTTCTAGACTTAAAATTGAGCATCTGCAAATAGGTTTTCTTTTTTCCTCTGTACGATTTACAGTACAAGCTGTCAAGTCAGATACTAATATCTTGGGATTTTATCAAGCAAATCTTCGGGGAAAAAAAAAGGGTTGGTTTTCTATTTTGAACTAATATAGACACTTCTGTTAATGGGAAGAAGAAATTGTTTTCAGGTATGTATTACATCTTAACGGGTTTGCTATCTTACCGGTTCTCCATTCAAACGGTGAACTTCTACTAACTCTAGAAAGACGGACACACGATCACATGTGTCAATTTCAATTCTTTTCCCTTTAGTTTTTGAGGAAGCTGTAGGTTTTCTCATTCCAGGCAAATTCTTTGCCATCTGTAAGGTCTTAATAGCTTCTGATAATTCTCCCATCTTCTTCTGTGTTTGGGCCTTAATTAAGTGATAAACAGGATGTTCTCTCACCTAAAAAACATAATGACATAAGGAGTTGCACAGTATTCTAACTCTCTGAAAGAAGATTTTCTTTTTTGATAGTGACCTTAGTTCCTTGTTTCCCCAAAATATATCTGATTTTAACTTCAGTAATTTACTTATGAAAACATTAGAATTTTCAAAGAGTACACAAACTAGTAATTAAGTTAGTTACCACACCCCCAAGTCCTTTTTCAGGGCTGTTCTCAATCCATTCTCCTCCCAGCCTGTATATGTGCTTCGGATTGCCTCAATTCAGCTGCAGAACCTTGCATTTGGCTTTGTTGAACTTTATGAGATTCACAGAAAGTTCAGTTTAAAAATTACTATATACAAAAACATACAACTTCAGATGATTGGCAGAATAAAGTTGTTTCATTCTTTTGTCCAACTCACCTCAAAATTGTAGCTCAGACAAAGTTCCAAAGATTGAGAACATAGCTTAGTATTGTTTTGAGCCAAGTACACCTGGGCCATCAATAAGTGTGCATCTGCATAGGAAGGATTCCTTTCAAGACAGTAACGTAGACTGCTATGGGCTGCTTCAATATCCCCTAGGAAGTTAAAAAAAGGAAAGTGAAAAACCAGTTCATATGAGATGCAGAGGTTAAATAGAGAGCATTTCTTAGTTACTCACTTTCTTTTTTTTAATGTGAGCATTTTGTGAATAAACTCATACGCCAAGTATTACATGGCTTTGAAATGAAACCAAAAGCAGATCAAAGGTAAGATATTTTGCCATTGTTCCGTCTCAATAAGTGATCTTTTTTGGAAGCAACAGATTTAAAAATACCATATTCATGTGTCTGTACAATTAAAGTGCACTCATACAAATCACAAAAAAGGACAGTGCAAATGCTCTTCACATTAGCTGTAATGCAGTGATCTGCAGCGAAAGAAAAAATTCATTATGATTTAAAAGTGTGAAATTAATTTTTATGTATTAAAGACACTAAAGAGGTGGATAGCTATCCATTCCCTTAACTATTACCTGACAAGTATTTCACTTTTGCAATTAAAAAGACAGCTTGTTGAAGACCAGGCACAGTTTTTACCACAGTTTCAAGAACAGAAGCACAGTGCTTGAGAAGCGGTGAAGGAGACTGCCCAGGATTTGCAGGCTAAGAATAAAACAAACAAACAAAATCAACAACATAACAAACAAAACACACACAAAACAAAACCAAAACCAAAACCAACCAACCAACCAAAACAACACTTCAGTGACTGGGTTTGGACTTGTTTTTCATTTCAAGTCTGAGCTTCATTTTAAACTCAACTGAACCATAGCAAAGCACTGTTATTTTATTCAGCCTTAAAAGCTAAAAACTGTCATTGTGAAGGAATATAAAAATACATTTTAAATTTCAGGCAGCAACTTCTTGCTATCAGCATGAACACAAGAGTGCCTCATGGACTTCAAGGATGATCAAACACTTCAGACTTGACATAAGCTGAGGATTCAGTCCAGAAACATTTGGTCACATACTCTGAAATACCATACCAACTTGCCCATCACAATGGTGATATGAACTAAATTTCAAGAGAAGTTGGAATGAATGACCAGAATGATGAGAAGAAAATGTTCTGATCCTGTCTCTCCTACCCTCATTCCACACCACAGAACATATCCATACTGCTAGCAACAAACTGAAAATAGCAGCTGAGAAATAGCTACTTTCCTGTAAACTGCTAATACAGTGTACATTTTAGCTTCTCATTATCAGAAACATTGTTCATTTCCCTCTATTACTTTAGCTAGTTGCTAACTGTTACATATAATATAAAGCAAAAGGAAACCTAAAGATCCTCCTGGTCACAGCTTGTATTTCCACAGGACCAATGCACTGGGGAAGCAGTAATTGTTCACTGTCAAACCGGAAGCTTCCACCACCTGGCTCCTGGCTGAAAACCTGACTTTCTAATAACACAAACTCCTTTTTGCAATCAGGAGATAATGAAACTTCAGGAAAAGCCTGTCTTTTCTTTTACAGTTTTTTTCTACAAGCAACAGTTCAGGAAATACAGTTTTCATTCCAAGTTAAAAACCATCATTGCCACTAAGTACTTCCGGAATACATCTCAGGGAAATCTTCAGACAAGACACTACCTCACTGAATGACACTTCTTATTTATCTCCATCTGTGACATGAAACTGTCTTTGCTACTGATATTTTAGACTTTCAAACATTACCATTTCATTATAGATGGTGGGACTGATTGTAACAATGAAAAACAACTTGTCAGCCTGTTAGACTTTAAAACTGTTCACGAATAAATATTTACAGTAAGGTTTATAATTAGACTAGAAATCTGCTAATGACAGGATAACAAAAGTCAGCTCCCATGTATTTCAGAAGAATAATCTATTTCAGGAAGACACTATTTTAAAGAAACTTTAATTGCGTTTCTTCTGCTTTAGCTATCTAAGGCTCCCATTCAATTTCTTAAGTCCTACAAGCATTTGTTGCCAAAACTAGCACAAGCAAATTCAGGCACAGAAAATTAGCCATTTAAATTATATCTTTCTTTGGAATTACTAATAACAATGATGATACAAGTAGTATTCCACTAATTTTTACCAACAAAAAAAAGAAACTGAAATGAAGAAAGAACATAGGTATACTAAAAAAAAACCCTGAGCTGACAAAAATATTTCAAGAACAGGATCGTCACTGTGAACATCCTACTTGCATGTTGAGATAGCTCTATTCACTGTACTGTTACAGCTTCCTGATCAAGAGACACTGAAAAAGTATAAATGCACACACTATGCCTTAAACAAATACTCCAGGTTTCCACAGGTGTCATTATTCCAACTTGCTCACTTCACAGAAGATGTATTTTCATAGATATTTTGATTAAACACACTTTTACTCCAAAAGAATTCACAATTTAAGAGGGAAATTTTTCTAAATTTTTGCTTCATGATCTCGAAATAAAATCCAAGAATAACTTCTATTTTCAAAGAGATGTGATCTACAGCTGCTTACCTGTGCTGGGCAAAAATTAAGATACTCCCTAATGATTTCTAGCAAGAAATCAGGGTTTAGTTTTTCAAAATATTCCACACCAAGAGGAAGACCACACAGAGATGAAAAGTGAGTGTCCAGAACATCATTCAGTAAGGCAATAACTTCATCTTGTCTCTTCTGTTGTTTCATTGCTAGGACTGCACGCAAGAAAGATAATTCCTACAGGTAAAAAAAGGAATAAAACATTCTCCATATTCCAGATACCTGCATCTGTTACGCATACAATAGTACATAATTATTAATGTTAGCCATTTCTTCTTTACATTTAGGGACACTGTAAGACACTTAGTAAGTTCACAGTAAATGACACTGATGATTATTTTATCAATGCATTCCTTTAATTTGTGCTGGAAGCTCTAAACATTTCCGAGCCCAAGATCATGATGATAATTAATATCTCTCCCTTCCTGACATTTCAGACTTTAGATAAGTTTTCGCTGCAGGAAGGCAATGATGTTTTTGCTCTGCAAGCAAACAGCCTTGTGTTGCAAAGTTAGACAACACATTAACTTAGATAGATAGCAAGAAAAATTGAAACTTGGATTTAATGGTATTCCATTAAGAATGCTCTGTTCAAGTGACTGAAATACAGAAGTATCTAGGAGACCAGAATACAGATTGTAATCAAAGTATTTTAATGAAGGAAGATGTCTCCTACCCCAGATTTCCCAATGGACTGTTGAATTTCATTAAGAAACTCCAGCTGCTGCTCTGCATCTTCTAATTGTCCTTGTATTAGCTGACAACGGATAATTCCTGTAACATATTCAAACATTTTATTGCAGATCTGCATCCTAGTCAAGCACATGCTTTGTTTTCCAGAATTAACTGGAATTCATTTCCACAAACCACTCCTACCCTCTAAATTTTTTATACTATTTAAGGTAATGCCATAGTCAGGGAGAAAAATGTGGGGGGAAGGGGAAAATCTGTGAAGCAAGTATGCCATATTTACTCTCCACTGTCTTAACAGCAACCAAACTTTGTCAAAAGTAATTTTTTTTTTTCCCAAAGAATACAATACGTACACAAAAAGTGTCCAATGTTTTGACTTGATTATATTTTTCAATCTAATTTGGACACCTATGTAGCCATGGAAAGCTTGTTTTATCAAATGCCCTTGAATTCTTTTATTTTTGTAGCACCTAAGAATTCTCTAGTTATCAGATATTCCAGAAATAAGATAATTTAAAAAAAAAAAAAAAATTGAGCCACATCTCTGTCCTTAGCATTACTTTGAGAGTTCTAATTTAAAAGTTACACTTTCCAAAAAGAAGACCAAGACATATATCCAGCGAGGAGAAACTGCTGCTACAAAGAAGACTGCGTAACATGAATCAGGAAGTATTGCCCAGTGATCTGTTCTAATAGTTCTAGATTTTCCTTGCAGCAGTAATAGGAAAACTTGATCAGAAAAAAAGTATTGCCTGTGCCTTAAAAACAGTAAAAACCAAAAGAAAGTGTAAGACCTTACCAGTTAGTGCAGGAACACTTGTTTCATCAAGTCTCATAGCAGTCTTGTACCATTTTAAAGCTTCTTTCACCTTTCCTTGTAAAATCATTTGGTAGCCGAGTTCAGTAGCAAATTCTGCATTGTCAGATGCCAAATCAAATGCTCTTTCAACTAAGGTTTGTGTATGTTGAAGGATGAGCTGGTCCCGGCCACACTAACGGTAAGAATATCTTTAAACCTTAAGTTTTCCTTGTTTTTCACATTCACTTAGATAAATACACTGAATATTGCTGTAGCAGTTGAGACAGTAACTTCTCATATAAAACTAATATAATCTGCAGTAGCTATAAAAATTGTGATGTTAAAGTGTGTTGGATTCCAACATAAATCTACAGACCTATACAATAAGGAATAGCTGATAGCTGCCTTGAATGCCTCCTTAAAACAGTTCTGATAAATACAAAGATTAAAGAAACCTTCCATTTCAAGGCTATATGATTAACCTTGTCACTTTCCTAAGTTAAAAATATGGTTGGTACACGAGTGTATTTTCACTGGAAGCTTGTTTCTTATTTAAAAGCAAGTAGTAAAAATACTTTTTGAATGAGATGGTTTAGGTGTGGTAATTCATACTTAACGTAAAACTTTAAAAATGTAGTTACCAAAGGCTACTCAAGGATATCTATTTAAATTGTCTGCAATCTTCTACTTTTTGGTAGACATTTAACATCTGTTTACCAGAAAATAAAACAAAAACCAGAATATATAGATAGTTGTATGATGCTTAAAGAAAAAGGCATACTCACTGTTCTACTGAAAGCTAAAGCCATTTTACAGAAGAGCTGTGAATTATGTGGTTCTAATTTGTCCAGAGCTTTAATTAGGTCTCTCAGCCTTGCTGAAGCCTTAGAGAAAAAGAAGTTACATAACAAGTAATAGAAAGAATGAACAGATTAGGACAATTGAACAGTTTTCACTAAAAAGTAGTCATATACTTTACTATTCAGTACTATCTTGAAATGTAAACTTGGGATTTTTCAGAGGTAGCAGTAAGATTTCTTTTAGAATTCTTAAATTCAAAATCTGAATCATGTTTAAATCTCATCAGTTTTTTTTAATGTTTTCCTAGTCATGGGTCTTAGTCACATGTGACGTTTTAGCCCCAAATCTTTTATTTACACACTACCATGTCCAGCAATTTTCATTCCTGGGTGACGTTATTGAATTGAAGTCTGCAATTGTTAGTTTCTGCATATTTCCTATGATTGTGCATAGGCAATACTTAAATTTTGTTTTAAATACACTAAAGAGTTTTTTGCAGTAACTAAAAATGTGTTATACAACTTAAAACACCTTTTCCTCTATAACTTGAAAATAAACCTACAAAACACTAAAAGAACTTCACATTTTTGCTAAATCTCCACTTAAATTATACCAGCATTTTTGCATAATGGAAAAGGTATTTTTTAAAAATCTTAAAAAATGTACCTTAAAATATATAATGACTTTTCATGACAATGTATTTTAACATTTCCTGAAAAATGGCACAAGCACCATCCCTACAAAACACATGCATATATTCATTGGGCAGAAAACGGATCTTAGGAGTAGAAGGAAAAGTTAAAGAGAACTCTTAGAGCTAAAAAACCCCACAGCAATTGTCAAAAAAGGGTGAACAAAGCACAGGTTATACAACCTAAAATCACAGATAGATGTAAAGTGACTGTGACCCCCTTCCAAATATTTATAGTTACAAAACTCATTACTTCCCTTATTTCAATTAATAAAACACTTAATATTAATGGAAGGCTTACAATAACTTAGGAATTTATCAAAAGAGCATTTAAACAATAAGTTTGCTTTGATGATTGAAATGAAGGTGATTCAATCAACTGTCCAGAGGACACTTCTCTTTGGTTTGATTCCTGTTGTCTAGAAAGACGGAGGTCAAAAATTATGTTTCCCTTGTCTTCCAGAACTGCCCCCAACAATAAGCGAGAGCAACCATTTGAGTCAGAGTAAGTGAATATACCTCTTCTGCAGATAAGTAGTGTAGTACAGGAATGAACTATGTGAGAAGACAAAGAAAATAGTGCATGTGGCATCTAGTCCCTACAAAGGCTGTGTTGTGCTCTGTCTGCTAATTAAAAGACTCACCTCAGATATATTTCCTTCCCTGCACAGATAATGCAGGGCCTCCATTCTTATGGCTTCTAAATTGAGGGCATCTTTTTGCAATAGTCTAAAGCCAAACAAAAGGTGAATGTAAAGGTGAAAAAAAAATCTTTACTCAATCATCTGTTTTGCTCTAAAAGGGGAATAAAATAACTTGTATTGCAGTCACTTTAAGTCATAGCTTTCAGTTGAAAGCAGAGCTTTGTTACTTATTTTACCCTTCAGAAAACATCCTCTTCCATTCAAAATGGTTTCACATATTGACGCAGTATCCTCACAGAATTGCAAGGCTGGCTTCTAGCAAAACTTAATTTAGTTTAAGCTTTTTTTTTCTTTTTAATTAACTAGTTCAAATTAATTAAAATCAATGGAAACCTACCTACTTTTGTTTCAAAGTGTTCTTACATTGTAAACATGGCAAGAACACAATTAACAGCGTGCTACTTCATACTCAACCTATGTGCTGTTTCAACTGTCTGCTCCCAGTCCTGCAAGGCTAGTTGTAGCTTCATTTTCTTTATGAGAGCCGGAATGAAGTTTGGAAAGTTTGCAATTATCTGGTTCACAGTTTCCAGAGCTCCTGAAAAATTCTGTCGGGCCTCAAAATACTGTGCCTAAAGGAAGGAAGAGAAGTCACGTCTAAAGCCTGTATACTCACATAGGTGAGAAGATTCAGAAGTTCTTTCATACAGAAAACAGCAAAAAGAGCTAGTGAGAGAAAAATCTTTAAATAAGTTTTACTTCAGCATTAACCACAACTAGAGATACTGCAATAAATAGCAAAAGATGCCATGTAAAACCTAGTGTATGATAAGCATTCTACAACAAAAGGTAATTGCAGCATTTACAAATAATTAATCATTTACAAGCAATAAAAACAGAGATGTAGCTGAAGAGTAAAACTGTCTTACTAGGTTTCAAGTAAGTCTGTATAAAGCACCTCATAGTTTTAGCATTCTGAACGCAACCACAGATTTAACATTTTTCCAAGCCCCAAGGTATGTACCATCTAAAGCCTGTGCTCAGTAGGTCACTGTTGTTGCCAGAATTAACATTTTTTTTGTTAATTTTAAAGCAATTTGCAGGGTATTCCAAATACAAAACTACTTCAGAAGTATCAAGCATCACAGTTTTCAATAAAAATCAACTTAGAGCTTAAATCCTGTTTCACTTTGATACTGTGTGCATGCCATTTTATTTCGTATTTTTGATACAGAAATGGTGCAAACGTAGAGTTTGAGAGTTAATTTCTTAAGCCATACCAAGATAGCTGTCTGTCTAAAATCTAATTTCGGTAACTAAATCTGAGATATACTGCTAGTTGAATTCAACAGTCTGCATATAGCCAAGCACACGTGGTTAACCAAATACCATTGTGCATGTTCTCCTGAAGTTTAGTCTTATTTTCATTGAACGATTTTTTCTGCATTTAGCTTTAGAATATTAAACATTACTTGAATAAGGAACAATGTATGTGATATGAACAATTAGTATACTCTGAACCAGACATGTAAAACCTACTGTGTGGTAAGCATTCTGTAACAAAAAAACCCAGAAAAATGTATAAAGAAAACAATTCATGCCACTGTTTTAATGAAATACAACCAAAACAAGCAGTTGGAATTAAAAAGAACCAATGTTCATAGATGATCACACTACAGTGTTTAAATACTATTTGTTTTGTCATGGCACAGCAATTCTGCAATGTGGATAGGTGTCCCATGCCAAAAGGAAGAGACCACACATAGTTTTATATTTTCAGATTATTTGAAACCTCGTTTCTTACATACGAAAACATGCATAAAACCAGTTTTTCTTGTGTACATAGTAAAATCATAACCTCAGTATACATTTAGACTATTTAATCTATATCTTTCTTTCTGACATTGCTATCTAATGCAGCCTAACGTATCGCCTAGTAGGTAATTTTATTCCAAGAAAAAAAAGGAGGGGAGCAAGGGGAAGCAAGTATGTCTTTTTAACATACTTAAAAGGAATACAGATGTGCAAGAAGAAATAGTTACCAGCTCCAGTTCATCAACAGAAAGTCAAAAACCAAATAAACCCACAAGTGGAAACTGTATATAGTGCAGCAGTATCCCACTGCAGCAATGTTTTATACTACAGAATTAAAGAAATGTTAGTAACGTAAGAACACCCCTGAAATCCATAATCATGTATAAGGTAACAGACATAGTGTACCATTACCATGTACCAGTACCATTACCCAGGCATGCCCCTTTGCCTTAAGCTACAAAGAAAGTGAGAAGTCTTACGAACTACAAACTACTTGAAATGGGCTGTCTGCCGCAGGAAACAGAAGCGTCAGTACATTTTTATTGTGCTAGTGATCAATTTGTGTGACAACTGTCCTATATTCCTTAAACAATTTTATAGATTGATTCAAGCTTCATTTCTGTTAAGACCTAGTCTTTTTCTCTAAACAAAACCAGTGTGACTGAACTGTATTTCTATTCCTTCGACAAGCTCATTTATGGACAACTCTTCTCAGCATCTTCTCAGCATCCCTCTAATTACTCTACAAGACTAACATGACATTTAGGAAGTGTTAAAATCATGATGCAAACTTACTTTTCCAAGCAGAGCAAAAACATCATTGCCTTCCTGCAGTGCTTCATCAAAGTATTTCAGAGGTTTTTTAATGTGAGTTTCTTTTCCACAGGTGAGATCAAGCCATGCTTTCAAAATCAACCCCTATAAACAAAATATAAATTAGAATTCATTACTAACTAGCTAGTAAAAAAAGTATACTTGATGTATTAATAAAAAGAAATAATATAAAAATAAGAATTGGACTTAAATTATCTATTTTAAATATATTATTTGAATTATAACAAGTCTACAGTGTAACCTAAAATATTAATAATTCATTATAGCATTAAACAAATAGTATATTTACTTACAAGATTAAAACCAACAAAAAACAAGGCCACTTAACTAGTCTAACACACTCAGCAAACAGAACAAAACCTCACAGAAATGACTGCATAAAACAGAGTATTTTCTGCAAACACTGCTGCAGAATTTTTTCTTACAATATTGTTTATATGAGACACAGAGAAAGAAATGGAGTGCTGAAAAAGGAGAGACACTTGGTTTTTTTCTTTCACAGTCTGATTAAAAAGAAAAACCTGTGTGCAAAGGGCAAAGATCTGGTATTTCCCAAATCTCCAACAGTATTATAAAAAAACATTATAGTACTTAGACCTTTCAAAAGTTGAAAGGTGTCTTTTCATTGAAGGAATTATTGCTTGTAACTAATGAATTTTATTTCTCTTATGTGTTCCAGACATTTAATGACGGATTAAGTAAATCTACTTTAAAGTGATGGATTATTTAACCAAATTATAATTCCCATAAAATATTAAACTATAAAGTATCACTAGCTCTGTTATAACATAAAATTAAAGAACTGAGTCGCTTATTTAAAATGCAACAGTTAGCAGAAAAGCCATATTCTGTAACTGCTAACAATCAGGAACATGATTTTGTTATGCAACAGGAACTGGCTGAAATTCACATACTCAAGTTTTTCGGTTTTGTTTTTTTAAAAAGAGGTATTTTACTTCTATGTAAGGAGTACATAAAGTATCTTACCAAATTGCATATAATAAGCAAATCATATTTCACAAAGTTTAAGTACCCTTAACCTCCTCCCAAAAAACCTGAAGTACACATAACTTTGTATTGTCAAACTAGGAACAGGGACAAGCATAAGTAAACTTAGAAAAAAGGAAAAATATTTTTTTCCTATATATTTAAATACCAATGTACATTTTTACATACGTGCATGTCCCTCTGTATAAAAAAAACATGCAATATTTCAAATCCATTAAATACCTCTGCTGAAAGTATTTCCTACTAAGCAACATTCCCAAATAATCTTTTGAAAACAAATACAAGCAAACAAACCCCAGCTACTTTGGCTTTAATAATAACTCAAAAGCTATTACTGAAATTCATAATGTAATTCAGAAATTAACATTTATGATAGTTGCAGAATTCTAACTCATGTAATATCATATAAACCATAAAACTGTAGGTTATAAATTGAGCTATGTACTGAACCACCCAGAGGTACAATTCAGAAACAACATTGTGTACAATACTAGTGTCGTAAGAGAACAATTATGCATTCAGTTTTAACAGCTCTGCCTCAAAGACGTCTGACAAAAAAAAAAGGTTTTATCTCTCCTTGAACTGAAGCTGGTACGTGCTTTAAAAACCCTAAACAGTAAGTTTTCACAAACCTCTTTAAAGATGCTAGTGAATTTTGTATACAAATGAAGAAGATATTGCTACATACAACACTTACACCAATTTTAAAATAAATTACATGAAGTAAAACCCTAAGCAAAGTTTGCCTTTAATAACTGCTGAAAATTTAAATCCCCAGTCCTCTGGGGATTTTTGAGACTTCAGATTCAAAATAGATGTGTCCCTCTAGTAAGACTATCACACTTAGGTTTTTCTCTAGAAATCATGATGCTCAGTATCAAGTAGCAAAATTGGCATAAATACATATTATTTCTGTTGATCAATGCAGACCTCTCATTTCTTAAGTGAAGATGAATATTTAGCAGACAAGAGAATCACTTGGCCCTGTCAAATGAATTTATGACATTAAGAAGAATTAGAACACAAAACAGTTAAAGGAAAGCTCCAAATAACATTGGTGCAGTAAGTCTAGCTGCACAGTGAACATGATCCTATTACTATTTTACATAGGAAAAAAAAGAAGATACCTCTTTACCACCACCAGAAACTTTTATCATTCTATCAACATATTCACGGGCTTTGTCTTCACGACCAAGATGCCACAAAAACATGCCAGCAAAGTACAGAGCCTGCTGTCCTGCTGTTTTACGTTGCTCCTTCAGTTTTGCATCCAATTCTAGAATAGCATCTCGATCTGAAAAGGTTTTGTTCACAGATTTTGTTGATAGCATCTCAAAATATTACAAAAGAGCAGCACATAAGTCAAGAGCTTCCAAAGCAAACCTTGTTTCTGTATTGTATATTGATAAACACAGAGGCAATCCCTTGCAATCCAAAATCTTAATCAGGTACAGAGGCAAAAGACAGAAGAGGATTCCCATCAACATGGTCATTTGTGCAAGAACACTGCTATTTGTTAAACCTTAAATTTGCAGCTGAGACTTCTGCCAGATAAATGGATATTTGACAATTAGGTTCACCAGTGTTCACCAAATAAGTAAACAGTTAAATGTAGAGCAGCCCGAAAATGCTGAACATGAGATGACTTAGCTCCAGAATCCCTGGAAAATGCATGATGTGTTTCTTAAAACTGAAACTCATTTTCTCACATCCTCATTGTTACTGTCAGTTGCTCTCATCAGGTTAATCCCACATAGAAATTTCATTTGGTATGGGGGGCTTACTGTCAAATATTTTCTTTTACCTACATTAATTTCTGATCCATTTTTAGGAGCCATTAAAATCAAATGTCTGACTCTTGAAATGTACGATAATTTTGCTGCCTTACAATATTAATCCTCAGGGACTCAAATAAGAATGATGTCATTAGTCAGAGCTGTTTCACATCCATACTGCTTAACAAAATTGTCAGTAACAGTCATAAATCTGCAGAGTCAGGAAGAGAACAGGGGAATAGTTTAATGATAACTTGGTTTACCCGATAAACCAACTGTGGTTTTGAGACTGTAAGTTAGCAAAATAACCTCTCTTTTTAGACTGGGGAAAAGAATACCAGTGTTCACAAAATTCTTTTCTCCATTTGTAAGGTCAGTGTAACTTGAAAGATAGAAACGGTGTGGCTTTAATGACTTCTTAAATTGCAGTTCTGCTTGTCCTGAGTTCAGCTGTAGCAGTCATTTTTCTCCTTCCTAGTAGCTGGTGCAGTGCTGTGTTTTGGCTTTACTCTGAGAACAATGCTGATAATGCACTAATGTTTTCAGTTGTTGCTAAGCAGCGCTTACCCCGATCAAGGACTTTTCAGTCTTATGCTCTGCCAGTGAGGAGGGGCAGAAGAAGCCAGAAGGAAGCAGAGACAGGATACCTGACCCAACCTGGCCAAAGGAGAATTCCAAACCACAGCACATCATGCCCAGTATATAAACTGGGGGAGTTACCCAGAAGGCCCAAATCACTGCTCGGGTCAGGCTGAGTATCAGTCGGTGGGTGGTGAGCAATCGCACTGTGCATCACTTTTGTTTATTGTCTTCTCCTCCTTTTCCCCTTTTGCTTTTATATTCTCTCCCCTTGTTATTTCCCTTATCATTATTATTATTGGTGGTGGTAGCAGTAGTGGTTTGTATTATACCTTAGTTACTGGACTGCTCTCATCTCAACCGATGGGAGTTACATTCTTCTGATTCTCCTCCCCATCCCTCTGGGAGCGGGGGGAGGAAGAAGGGGGAGAGTGAGCGAGCAGCTGCGTGGTTCCGAGTTACTAGCTGGGCTTAAACCACAACACTGCTCAAAAGCACCAGTATCAGACAAGGGTGAATAACAGTCACAAGAAGCTTGATTAATTTTTTTTTTTTCCCCCATGAAAGATTTTTCATCGTGGTGGTGAAGTCAGAGATATTTTTTTTTTAGTATTTTATTTTAACATTCGGTCTTACCCTTTGCAGTTTTGTGTTTTGTTATTTTTGTTTGCAATCTTGGTAAGTGTCAATTTAGTACTATATAGTATGCCAAATGCAAAGCTGGAGCACACCTTTTTAAATTAGGCAGAATTAGTCTACAGCTCTCAGATCTTCACACAGAGTTGTTTAAAACATGACGCAGTACTGTCTTAATGAGCATACCTGGCTTAGGGCTCTTTTTATGGGCATAAATCAGAGCCATCATTGTACAAAGTGACACCTGCTGTTTGTTTTTAATAGACTCCAACTGTCGCATCCCCTCTTGGATGTCACCTAGTGAAACAAGCACAGAATAGGCTATAAGATTTTTCAAGATAGAGAATATCAACATCGAATATCAATCCCACTTAAATTTTCCCCTCTATTTTTTACTTCTGCATTTCTGATAGCGGCTTCTTCATAATTTCCTTCATTATTCACACATCCACTTTCACCTTCTGTGCAAGTGTTTCAAACAGACACAAGAAAGAAGAAAAAGCATCTCAATGCTGAGAACTTGAAAGGAGTTACGTGCTAGTTCTGCCAACTGCCATGAAGATGAAAATCATCTTTATTATTTGTTTTATACAGGCATCGAGCAGCTCTTCCTGCTCCTGTTTCTTTATATATCCAGACATATTGCCTTGCTTGCGTGAAACTTTCGAACATCAGTAGAAAAGACAGTATCATAAAAAAATAGAAACTTGTGACTGTGAAGCAAACAAAAAAGTCAGGGATTTTGGGAACAGATACATCACCTCAAAATCTTTTGAATACTTCTTCGCCCCCTGCCACAGCCCTCCCCCACTTTGTGTTACCTTTAGTAATTTGTGACAACCTTGAAATACAGATTTAGAAAAATAATATCTTCTGAACGCAGTTTAATGTACACAATGACCCTCCCAAAAGGTATTAGCTGTCAGCTCCTCTGAGGCAGATGTATGCAACAAAGTTAGATACAGCTGCATTTAAGGACATACAGCTCAAACCGGAGGGGTGGGGG